AAACGAGTTTTTAAAACAAGCATCAGTTGATGTCAGGTTAGAATTTGAAGCAGGAATCAACATGCCAGCCGAGACCACCGCCTATTGCTTAATAATCCATGACCGCGTCATACAATATAAGCCAATCAGCGGCGTTGTAAAGAAACTATTGTAAAGGAGTGGGGATAATGTGGTAGTGGTGGGTGGGGTGATTACTATAAAAGCAGCTGCTCTCGGCTAGAAATTCATTTCTGCTTCAAAAATGGAGTTTATTGTAGATGTTCAAGGTTTTAAAAGAGCCAACAACGAGTTTGTCTTTAAAGAGTTGGCGATACTTCCTCTTCAACCAGATGCACAGCCTCTCGTCTACCTTTTTGAACCTCCTTGTCCTTGGAATTCACTGCCAGGACGCTACAAAAGTAAAAATCTTTGGCTAACACATAATTACCACGGAATCCATTGGACAGCTGGAGACGTCTCATACGATGAACTTCGACCAATTTTACAAGATATACTTCAAAGTGCAAGTGTAATTCACGTTAAAGGTTTAGAAAAAAAGAATTGGCTAGAAAAATATTTACTCAACGTACAAAACTTGGAAGATTTTAATTGTCCATCGTTGAAAAAAATTAAGTCTGATTTGTTAACGACGTGTACGCATCATACTTTTTGTAGTGAAAATTGTGCTGTAAAAAATGTTAAAATTCTACGCGATTGGTTTTTGGATCCACCAAACCAATATATAAGTACTATTGCTAATGGTTTCGATGAAGTTGACTCTACTTTAAAATCTTTCTATGAAAATTGTGATTTTTTTTTGTAAAATATAGTTATTAAGTTTTAAAGAAATAAATGTTATTAATTAAAAATTTAAAACAATGCTTCTTAATTTCAAAAACAACCTATCCTTTAAAATTTAATTTAAATTCTTTTATAATTCCTGAAAATAAAACTTATTCTAATTCGTAAAAATAACTTATACTAAGAGAAGGAAAGTAAATTTAAAACCAATTTATAGGTAAAACTTTGTGTGTTTATTTTATCAAAATTTTTTAAAATATATATTATACATTTTTTTTACAAAAATTATAACAATTTAAACTCGACAATATTATATGGTCCTCCAAGATACTTCATTTGAAGTTTTTTCGATATCGCAGCTTCTTTCATCATGTCCAAGGTGGTTGGTTCATCCTCAAAGAGCTTGATGAATCTTGTTGGTAAGTATGTGACGAAATCAGCATCAATTTCAACAATGATCCTTGGTCCATATTTGGTCTGGACCTTCTTCATCTTTGAGACGTAGTACAGTCCATCTTTCATCAATTCCACAAGTGGCTTCGTCGGCAGGTAACCTTCAAAACGTCCAACAGAGTTGACTTTTTCTAGATCCATTTTTTAAGCTGTAAGAAAACCTTGAACAAAAGAAAAGAAAACAAAGAACTGTAATAAAAAAAATATTAGTTTTTAAAAGTAACATAGAAAATATAGCTGAAAAAATAAACTTAGAAAATATAGTTGAAAAAGAAACTTTGAAAATATAGCTGAAAAAGAAACTTTGAAAATATAGCTGAAAAAGAAACTTTGAAAATATAGCTGAAAAAGAAACTTTAAAAATATAGCTGAAAAAGAAACTTTGAAAATATAGCTGTAAAAGAACTTAGAAAATAAAGCTGGAAAAGAAAAAAAAACTTGGAAATAAAGCTGAAAAAATTAGAAATAAACCTGAAATGTAAACAAAAAAAACCTGGAAATAAAGCTGAAAAACTTAGAAATATACCTGAAATTAAAACTTAGAAAGAAGCTGAAAAGAAATGTTAAAATGGACAACTTATTATACTTACTGCTAATTCTAGAACCTGAAATAAGAATGATCTTATCGCTATGAAACTCGTCTTATATGACTGCAACCCCACTTTTATCTCAATCCCCACCACATTTTTAAATGCGCACGCAAATTACCCCCACTATACACTGCGCACGCAGGAATATCACCACTATAATATGTGCTTAAATCATGCGAGTTAAAATTAAGGGAACTAAAATAAATGCGTAAATTTAAAAAAATATGTTCTTTATTTAAAAATTTAATATTATTATTATTTCTTAAGGCTCAAAACAATCATCAACTTCTTCTTCTTCTTCAAGTAGCTCCGACGTCTAAAAATAGTATTTTCAAAGTTAATTGAAAAATAAGAAAAATATATATTCTCAAAGTTAATTTAAATGTACTTAGAAATTTCAACTAACTTCCTCAGGATTGATATATATAACTAAAACATCATCATCATCATCTTCATCGCCATAATCATCATCATCGCTGATGATGATAGTTTCACCCTGACTATCATATCCATCCTCATCATTATTATTATCATCGTCATCATCATCGTCGTCATCATCATCCTCGTAACAATTGTGAGCAAACTCATTAAAAATAACTATTGTAGTAGCATTATCTTCTTCTACTTCTTCATCCATAATTTGTGGAGGATAATTTGATTTGTCTTCCATTTTTCTCTCTCTTTTTCGTTTCTTTCTAAAAGAAAAATTTTAATATTAAATAAAATTAACTTTAAAAATAAAAAATAAGAAATATTAAAATAAAAAGAATTTGATGGGAGAGAAGAACTGTAAGAAAGTGATGAGCTGTAGGAGAAAAAGAGAGAAAGACCTGTAAGACAGAAAGAGAGAAAATACTTGTAAGAGAAAAAGAGAGAAAATACTTGTAAGAGAAAAAGAGAGAAAATACCTGTAAGAGAAAAAAAAGAAAATACCTGTAAGGGAAATGACATTGAAGAGAGAAAAAAAGACCTGGAGGAAAGAAAGAAAGACCTGCTGAAAAGAAAAAAAACCTAGAGGAGAGAAAGATTTGGAGGACAGAAAGAAAGAAAGACCTGGTGAAGAAAAAGATATAAACCTAGAGGAGAGAAAGACCTGGAGGAAAGAAAGAAAGAAAGACCTGGTGAAAAGAAAATAAACCTAGAGGAGAAAAAGACATGGAGGAAAGAAAGAAAGACCTGGTGAAAAGAAAGAAAAAATTTAGAGAGAAAGACCTGGTGAAAAGAAAATAAACCTAGAGGATAGAAAGACATGGAGGAAAGAAAGAAAGACCTGGTGAAAAGAAAGAAAAAATTTAGAGAGAAAGACCTGGTGAAAAGAAAATAAACCTAGAGGAGAGAAAGACATAGAGGAAAGAAAGAAAGACCTGGTGAAAAGAAAATAAACCTAGAGAAGAGAAAGAAAAAATTTAGAGAGAGAGAGAAAGACCTGGAGGAAAGAAAGAAAGACCTGGAGATGAGAGAGAGACCTGGAGAAGAGAAAGAAAGACCTAGTGAAGAGAAAGAAAAAACCTAGAGGAGAGAAAGACCTGGAGGAAAAAAATACCTGGAGAAGAAAAAGAAAGAAACAAAAACCTAGTGAAGAGAAAGAAAAGACCTAGAGGAGAGAAAGACCTGGAGGGAAGAGACCTGTAAGGAAGAGAAACCTACGACGATGCAAGCTGAAAGTAGAATGAGTGTGGTGGCTGGCGCACTGCACTCACTCACCGTTGTGATCCCCACTAGGCATCGCTAGTGGAGTGAAAGCAGCATCTCCATGCGGCGATTCTCCGTAACAAGTTCCAACACGCGGCGAGTTTTGAATAGTTGGTGTAAATTAAACAATATTAAAACGTTAAAGTGAATTTGATTTTTTTAGATATAAATATTTAAGCTTTACAATTATATTGGTAATTTAATAAATATAAATGTCAAAATTTAGGTTAAAAATAATTTGTAGCACATTCATTAGTAACTATCAATAAAAATTATATATATTTGAAACACAAGTGCATAATTTTCATATTGAAAAAGAATTATGAAAAGCTGGTAATAGAGCTTTACTTCAAAATTGTAACGCTTAATTATACTGCACATTACATTTCCTGTGTATCTCCAACATGATTTTCATAAAGCACAACACTAAAAACAATAAATATATTCCGCAAAAACCAATTTTTCTTTAAATTCAAATTTGTAGTGCAAATTCACTTAAATATAAGTCTACAAAAATGATGTATAGGCTTGGATGTTTTAAGAATGTTAATTACTTTAATTTATAATTGGAACTTTTTTAATAATAGTACACTTATAACTGAAATTTAATTAATTTTAAATAGTTAAAGCACAAAACTGTCAAACTTAACCTTATTTTTATGGTTATGAGTATGTTTAATTGAATAATTGAATAATAAATAATAATAATAATAATTTTGCTAGTAGAATAATGGTGAGCGAATTTAATCTTATTTAAGGATAAAGTTGCTCACAACTAAACGGCTTATAAATATTTTTCTGTAACATATTTTAATTTCTTTACACTGTAATAGAAAACAGTTAAAGACATTTAAAAAGAATTGAAAAATTTACAATAATAAAAACAAATTTGATTTTTTTAAATGTCAATAAATGAATTAGATACATAAATTAGACAATATTATTGTTTCTTTATTATTATTTTGTGAACAAACAAAATTACAATGTTCTAATTTTTAAAAAATATATAAACTTGTGTAATAAAACAAAATTACAATGTTCTAATTTTTAAAAAAATATATAAACTTATGTAATGAAACAAAATATATAATTTTTTCTATAAGGTAAATTTTGAAAACCTTTAATTTTACAAATACTTTGATTTTCTATGGATGTTACATATATTATAATACTATAAATACTAAGATGACATTACTCTCTGAGCGGTTCTCAACAAAACAAATTTAAAAAAGAAAAATGAACTTACAAATAATTCAAAAATAACTTTGAGATTTGAAGTTATAAAAAAAATGAGTTTGTTTAGTTCTTTTAAAATTAGAATTTTCAGAAAGTACATAATAATAATAAGATTAAAAAGTAAGAAAAGTTATTGTTTCCTTTTTTTATGATCACCATTTCCTCCATTACTCGATCTATGTCTCTTGGTTCCTGTAGTTACTTTTTTGGATGAGTTGCTTTCTTAATGCATGGGTCATTATCATTAATTCAAATTGTTTTCGAAGTTGATGATGTTGAGGCTCTTGGTGTTGAGATATTTGGCGCTGAATTATTCGATGTCGAGGCTCTCGGTGTTGGAATATTTGGCGCTGATTTATTTGATGTTGAGGCTCTCGGTGTTGGAATATTTGGCGCTGGATTATTCGATGTTGAGGCTCTCGGTGTTGAGATATTTGGCGCTAAATTATTCGATGTCGAGGCTCTCGGTGTTGGAATATTTGGCGCTGAATTATTCGATGTCGAGGCTCTCGGTGTTGGAACATGCGGAATTGAAAGGTTTCGTGTTGAATTCGATTGGCTTGATGATGATGATGATGATGAGGACGACGATGGTGAGGACGATGGTGAGGGCGAAGAGGATGATGTGGAACTCGATTTTGAAATAGCACTCAATGCTGGTGATGGAAGTGACTCCTTTATTGCACTCTGCAGTAGCTCCTTAGAAGTTGGAATATATTCATCCTCTAGTACTACAGCTGGAACATACTTGTCAACTGGATCCCATCTAGATTTACGATTTCGACCACCATTTTCTTTCTCCTGTAAAATAAGAATTTCCATTATTTCCAATCACCTGTTTTAACAAATATTTTAACTAAAAGTAATTCAGGGTTAAATTTAATTTTAATAAGTATAAAATAAAATAAATAAAATAAATAAAATAAATAAAATAAATAAAATAAATAAAATAAATAAAATAAATAAAATAAATAAAATAAATAAAATAAATAAAATAAATAAAATAAATAAAATAAATAAAATAAATAAAATACATAAAATAAATAAAATAAATAAAATAAATAAAATAAATAAAATAAATTAAAAATTTGAATAATAGATTAATTAATAAAAGCTTATCTACTATACAAAATTTATAGCAAAATTTAGAGAAAAAGAATTTAAATAAAAGATAATTAAGATTAATTTAAATAGAAAAAATAAAACCATATTTAGAAATACGTCTATAATTCGAAAATATTAAAGTTAAATTTTAAAATATTCGATAATTAATATTTAATTTGAAAGTATTAAGAATTTTCTTTTACGAAATATTAAGTTTGAAAATAAATTCATTTTTACTTACATTATCATCATTATCATTTCCTTTTTGACCCTGTTGTTGTTGTTGACTTCTCTGTTTTGTTATGCTCATTTGTGTGCCTCTTTGTGTGACTCTTTGGTTGACTGAAGGTCTTGTTGGTCTTGGAAACGACGTTGAATATTGTTGTCAAATCCTATTTATCGGTCCTTGAAATGGTACCTGTGGCATGTTCCACTGGCATATTCCAAATTTATTCTGTATAAAAAAACATAATTTTAAACACGATTTATATTATAAAATAGAGTAATTATTTATTTCAAATATAAGCTTATAATTTTAGGTCATGTTAGAATGTATTAAACAGAAATGTTTTAAATTAATATTGTATACTTTAAATAAATAATTACATACTAAAAAGAAATTTTTAAAAATATTTACCGGCATATTGGCCATATACCGGCAGAAACAGCATACTCCACAAAAATTAAAATTCTAAAAGAAAAAAAACCAATTAACAAGTAAAGAAAATGTAAGCGATGAAATAAGTTAAAAGAATATTATATTTGAAATGTAATTATTTACAGCATTTTAATTTGAACTTACCATTTTCTCCTGAAATTTGTTTTGCTGTCATCTATGAGGTTTTAAAACATGTGACTGAATTGAGAAGAGGTTACGAGGTAGCACTGTTGCCAACTTACTTTATTTTCAGGTTGTTAAATTTAATTCCGTTATAACCACCAATAAAAACGATTTTACTTTAAAAGAAATATTATGATTGGTTCTTTGAAAACAGTACCGTAACTATACCTTTTTTAATGTTTATTAATATATATATACAAATATATAAACTAAATAATTTAGTGAAATAAAATTTTCTTTCAGTAAAATATTTAAAAAAAATACAATACATTATCTTTATAAATATTATATATTACACATTAAAACGATAAAATTATAGCCAAGTATTTTTATAATCAACAAAAAAAATAATAATAGGGACAATATACATTTACTAAGCTGAATAAAAAAAAGGATTTTAATATAACTAAAAAACCATTAAACACCCTGTAAACCGATTTTTATTTACATATACTAAGTTGATAAAGTAGAACACTTCTTCTTACCCACTTGAAAGTTTAAAAATAAAAATTTCCTGTCAAGGGGGTTTAAATTTACATGTGGCGCCATCTCTCGGTGGCAGCCGGAACACAGCTGTTGGTAAAACAGAATATCCCTTCTAACCCACTTGAAAGTTTGAAAATAAAAATTTAAATACCCCGCTAAGGGGGTTTGAATTTAGCGGTGGCGCCATCTAGCGGTGTCAGCCGGTACTAAAAACTCGGTCGGTAAAACAGAACACCCCTTCTAACCTATCTGAAAGTGAGCTATTAAGAAATCTACCTTACCGACGGTCGGTAACTGGGCCAGAGCTTAGTGGACAAAAGGCTAAATTGCCATTTTGCTAAACCACGCACAGCAAAACTGTTTTACCGACTGAGTGTTTCGAACCTAACCTCTTACTCTGTAAAATTTTAATTTAGCGAAATGACAATTTAGTCTTTTGCCCACCAAGCCAGAACCCGCCTAGCTCTACTACTTTCTTTCATTACAACCACTGAAAAATAAATAAATTTTCCCCACTTATGCCACAGTGGTGTTTTTCAGGGTTTAAATTATATTTAAAATTATGTCAGTCGTTGCACAGATTTTAGGGAAGGAAATTGAAAAATTAACCACAAAACATTCGTTTTTTTTTTATTTTGAAGGTTAATTTTTTAAAACGTGTAAAAGTCGAATAAAACTCTGTGCAACGACTGACATATTTTTAAATATAATTTGAACCCTAAAGAACACCACTTTGGCATAAGTGGGAAAAATGTCTTTATTTGTCAGTGGTTGTAATGAAAGAAAAAAATCAAAAATCAATTACTTCGCTTTTGAGAAAAGTCACATTTTAGACGATATTTCAATTTATTTAATGTTTTCGGTTTATTAATGTTATTTTTTATTACATATTTGAAATATTCATGGAAAAATAAATAATTTCCATATATTATATTATAATTTTGTATCTTTTTGTATAACAGAGAAAAAAGTGTTTCAAAAGTCCTCTGCATCTGAAAACGTTAAATCTAAAAAAACCATAACTTTTATAATTTTGATCAAATAAAAAATTAAAAAAACACGTATTTACTTATTTTTCATATAGAATTCAAAAAAAATTGTTTTAATCAAAAAAAAATTTTAAGTGAAAATTACACTATGAGAATGCCCCATGTCCTTTCTTTCCATTAAAAAAAATTCTTGAAAAAACATTGCTTTTTAGACATTAGTCCACTGGGTATTAATGCAGGGGAGACTGGGGTAAACCCGCTCACTTTTTTTCAGATCGGCTAAAATCTAGGAAATTATTCTCTAAATCCAAGTTAATTTATATCATTTGAAAGCTTATGATTTCTACTAAAAAAATTAAAAAGAGTTTTTGATTTATATTTTTTAGTTTTACTTAGAGAAACTTTTTAATAAACATATACCAAATTTCGAAATCACAATTTTCCAGGGTAAACCCGCTCACCTTATCTTTTCAAGACGGAAGAGTTTTATTTTTTAAATATTAAAGTTCGTCTTATTCCCGTCTTAAGTATGAATTATTATTGATAATTTATGAGTTTTATAAACAATTCTATAAACAACAAATTGGTTTAATAAATAATGAACATAGATTTCATGAATTACAACTATGGATTTAAATAGTGTTATATTTTATTAAGAGAAAGTGAAATGTAGTTACAATTTTGGTTTTAATAAGTCATAAATTGTGTTATTGTTGAAATATAATACGTGAAATTATTTTATTCTAAATTTTAAATTTAAAACTAAGTGAGCGGCTTTACCCCGACTTCACGTGAGCGACTTTACCCCGAGTGTATTCGTCACATTTCAGAATAAATTTAATTAAATCTTTTTAAAATAAGACAAAACTATATATGTACTTCGAAGAAGGACATCCAATAGCAACAAAAAAAATTGCCAGATAAATTAAGACTCAAAAATAATGATCGAAAAACTTAAAAATCCAAAATACGTTTTTTTTCTGACACCTCTAAAAACATTTGATCGTTTCTGATTCTGTGTTGAGTTCATGAGGGAGGGTAAAGGGCTCCAGAAGAAGGGTTACGGGTTTTAGTGGGTCGGGCTGTCAGTAGGTCGCCAGTTTATTAAATTTACTATTTTATATATTTATTTTTCTTTTTTTATCTCCTTTTGTTTTATCACACCAACCCCACATAACCTTGGAGTGCGGAATCCAAGGTATCTGTAGGCAGATTTCCCAAAGGTCCCTAAGCAAAAAAAAAAGTACTATTCACAGTACCAATATCTTTTTGTAGTTTTTATAATGTACTTTAAGGTGCAAAAATTATTTGGAAAATTTATTACGCAATGAAAGAGTTCACTATAATATTAACCAAATCAATTATGAAAAATATGGTGTCCTTCGAACAGCTTAAGATGGACTCTTCTGTAAAAACCGTTTTAGAAGGTTACATTTGCTTCTGCAATTTAGTTTTGTGGATCTTGTCTAGTTAAAATAGAAAAATGGAAATCAATTTTGAAGGGTGACTTTGCCCTTATGGGGCAGCCATCGATTCGCTCCCGTGAGGGGAAGTGACATTCTCCCACCATGCGGCCAGGGGCCTGAGTTCGGAGTTCGGAGCGAACGTAGCACAGCGGGGCGCCTGGTCCCTTAATCCCTCATTAAATCATCCTTCCTTAACGACATTCTTTAAAAAATATAAATTTCTCAAATATAAACATTTTTAAGTTTTTTTTATTAAATTCAGATCCCTTATTTTATTACGAATCCATACATATGTTGTTTGCCTTAAAAATGTTAATATTTAAAAAAATTTTAATTTATTATTAACTGACACTTAAATAAATTCATAGTAAATTTGACTTTCAAGCAAATATATATTTTCTCTGGCTATATAATCTACTTTTTACTTCAGTTGAATACTGAAAAAACTTGAGAATTATAATCAGTCAGTTAATAATAAATTTTAAACTTTTTAAGTACTAACATTTTTAAGGCAAACAACATATGTATGGATTCGTAATAAAATAAAGGATCTGAATTTAATAAAAAAACTTAAAAATGTTTATATTTGAGAAATTTATATTTTTTAAAGAATGTCATTAAGGAAGGATGACTTAATAAGGGATTAAGGGACCAGGCGCCCCGCTGTGATACGTTCGCTCCAGACCCCGAAGTCAGGTACAAGGCCGCATGGTGGTAGAATACAAATTCGCGACCATTATCACTTTGCAGTATCTTCGGTGCACCCCAAGTAAAAAAAATTTCAAAAAAAACATACAAATTAAGGGATCATTAGGATCACTTCTTTTTAATATGAATTGCGTTTTACCTCCGATTTTCAAAAGTTCATATAGTTTTGAGCAATGATAAAGATGAAGTTTTTTTTTCTTCCTCACATTCCAGGAGAAATGAAATCACATTTTGCTCATGGACTTTATTCCATACAGATCTGTGGCTTGACGAATTTTTGAATAGTGATTAATTCAGCACTTTTCGACATTTTCGGGACTATATCGTTTAAATAAAATGAGAAACTACTGTTTATTATCAAATTTATTCCACTTATATAATGTAAGAGTAATACAAATGTTAATATTTACATTTATTAAAGTGAGGTCATCATTATTGAATAGTGTTTATTCTAATAGACTGAATATGATTAGGTTAGTAGTTAACAGCCCGATATTTCTAGGCAAGTAGACTTTAAAAGAATCGAAAAATTCAATTTCGTCTACTGGTCGGACATTAGCAAAATGCTTAGGCTTTTATTTAATGGCCTGAATTGTCTTTTGGCTTAACACATATACAAGAGCTATTCTCTGCTATTATATAATTAATCAAAAACTTTTCTCTTTGAATGAGTTTAACGAAAAGCTTCAAAATTTTAACTTTGGACATTTTAAAGATAACAGAAGGGATATGAATATGTATTTTTCTCATGCGATGTAGGAAAAAATACTAGAGTAGAAGGGGGTAATGTAGTGCACTTTTCTTTCGAAGACTCCTGTGG